AAGGCTTTGGGGAATTCAGAGCTTTAAGCCATCTGGATCCTCCTAAGATTTCATCACTCTCTGTGGGGTTATGTAACTCGAGGGGGTATGGGAAAGAATGCAACTCTTGAAGAAACTCCATAGGAAAGCACTTGTGGTTGCAGTTTTCATTGATCCCTTCAGCCAGAAACCAAAAAATGCTGTAAGAATTCTTTCCACTCCCCAGAGTCTTAATTCGTATTGTTTGTTGCAAGAATAAATATGCACTAGAAATTGGTAAAAATACTTGTCTGAAAACTGAGCATTTTTTTATTGCTTTTTTTTGCTGCATTTCTATGTGTGTGGTAACATCTGAACGTAGATATTCAATTGCAGGTAGGTAGTAGTATAACAACATTCCACTTCACTGGCTTTCCTGAAGGAAGAATCTTTTAAGAAGTTTAAATTGGCTTGGCAACTTGYTGACTTCATTTTTTTCCTCCCTCTTACTCTTTCAAGCTTCTACTCTTCCACTCCTTTTGAGCCATTTTTCTGCCTTCCAATCGGTGTATTGGACCCCATTGCTTCCCTTTCTTTCACCAGTATTTCCTCAYCTTTCTCTTTGCTCYTATACAGTTCCTCATTCCACACTTYTTTCTAGCATCACTGTGCCCTCCTYATCTCCCTCAGKGTCTATATCCTCCTGCCTCTGYATATTCTTTCTYTCCAGYTGGCTTCTCTTTTTGAATGATCTGTTCTTTGCCCTTCTCCAGGTTCTTGTTTCCCCTTTTTACCTAAGTTGCTGAACATGACCCTGCTTTAAAATAATTAGAAATAACAGATGTTTGTTTAGGTTACTGAACTTCTCTCTGTTTAAGATATAAAAAATTGTGATTTTTGGGTCAAGACAGTCTGTTTTCACTCTGGTAACACCTGAAAAACTCCTGTATCTTCTGTTAGTATGGACATCATGGAAAAATATCCTTACAGAAGATCAGGAGACTTTCAATAATATTTCGCTCAGCATCTCAACAGAAACAACACTTGCTGTGACATGGAATACCAAGAACCTAACTGAAATAAATCCTCTGRTTTATACTTGTTGGCAAAACTTCAKGGAGACATTTTWGAGCTYTAAGTGCCCTTGAATCCTTTGCTGCCACCATTTCTTCTCAACTTGAAGGAAAATGGTAGAGTGTGCCACAGCTTGAGTGTAAGGCTTGGATGCACCTTCCTTTCTTACCCCCTTTTAGAGCTCTTCTGCCCCAGTGCTGCCATGGCCCTGTCTGTGGTCAGTTCTCATGTGGTTTGAGGCACAAGAAAGTGAGAGCTGGCTAATAAAAAAGTGTTTAATCTACAATATTGTATGAACTGTTGGGAGCAGTCATAAATGTTCCATTTAGTGAAAGTGCTGGCAATTTTCTTTTCAGCAAGGTGCACCACATATTTCTSCTTCAGTAGAGATTGCAATATAAGCCCAAAACAATACAGAATGAAGACTTGCAAAAAATGTTTCTTCATGTAATATATGGCAATTTCTAAAATGCCTTCTTGTTTTTTCTCCCTTAGAGACTTGTGAGAAAACTGGCTAATGATTCAGACACAGAGATGTGAAATATTGCATCAATAAGATTTTTCACACTTTTTTTTTCCTAAACCAAAAAGCATTTCTGAAGTATTATCTATAAAATATGAGGCTGTTACTCAGCTGAGAACATTTCCTTGGAAGTAACTYGGAGCACCGATAATTGTGATTAATGTGGCCTGCAAACTCCTGCTGACAAGATGTTGACTCAGAGTCACACAAACAAGTAATGTGTTAGCCTTTCACGCAGCTTCCCTCCTCCAGATATTTGTAACTACACATACAGAAAGTCCAAATTCTTCTGATTGTAGAGTAGCAGTGCTAATAATGTTAACCTTTTAAGCTATTTTCTTAACGCTCTATTTATTCAAATTGATTTTGTGTAAATTCATTTGCAATTTTTGTATTTCTTTTCACTTTCCATAACAAAATACATAAGTGTCTATCCTAATGTAAGACTAATTTACTTCCTTGCCACTTCCTTTGGAATTTTTTGTTTGTTCAAGTATTAAACTTTCACATTTTTCGTTAGTGTAATTTTTTTCTTGGCCTATTTTCAGACCTAAGTGTTTTAATTCCATCTCCAACTGTACACATATTTTGGACATTTGTCTTCCATTCTCTTATGTTCATGTAGAGGTAAATGATTAATTTACCTTTTGTTGTAAATTTTCTATTTTCCTTAAATAATATTTTCAGTCTGTGGAAGAACAGGAATGCTGTTTCTCTTGAGAATGCTTTCTGTGCAAGAYGATGAACAGTGGTATCCCTGAGAGATGCTGCAGTGTTGTGCCGAATTCTTTTCAATAATATCTTTTCATTTATGACCAGCTTTCTGAGCAAACACCTRTTAGAAAGTGCTTGGAGGAAATTCCATGGAGATTTCCGATTTTGCTTATTGAAATCCTGCTCCTACTACCKTTTTGGGCACTCTCTTTTAAATGAGAAATATGATTCCTTATYGAAGCTTAAAGTCTTCTTCCCTCTTTTTTGATCCCTTCTGGTTCCACGATAATGTGTTTTGGAARTACTGTACATCTGTCTTCTTGGGTTGTTCAGCACAGCCCTGAGGCTGATCTGTTCTTCTAAGAAGAGGTGCTTTAAAATTGAGAATCTTCAGCCCTTGAACGGATTTGGCCTCCAGGGCCAGCACATGTTCATCTCCCTTGTTCTTCTTCCCTTGCTCTGCTGGAGTAAAACCTGATGAAAATTGCCTCTGCACCAAAATTGTTTTACCTCTAGGGGCCAGACAGTCCCCATTTTGGTTGAAAGACTTGGGGACATTGAAGGTAAAGGTGTTATTACAGAGTCTAAATGGAAAGAGGGAGATATTAAATGCAGTTTGTCCAGACTGAGTTGACTTTTTATAGTTCAGTGAGCCAAGGAGTCTGGGGAAAGGTTATTTTTTAGGTTCTTTAGGGAAGACCTTCATGGTGGCTTTTAAGGAACACATYACATTTTCCTCTCAGAATATGGTGGAAATCTATAACTCTGTGATGAGAGGCAACAATGATAACATCAGGTAATAGAAACAGAACATTCTGTCCCTGAGAGAGCTCAGAAAGACAGGAAATGTGAAGTGTATTGATTATTTGAAAAAGTACAAGTAGTATCTGTTCACATGCTTTTTTGTTATTCTCAACCACTCCATGTTTTTATTGCTGATTTTGTCAAAAAACCAAAAAAAAGTCTTGTCAAAGGGTATTTGTAATGAGATATCTACAAGTAGATTGTCCAAGATTTATTGTACTGCCAGCAAATATTRAATATCTTTAGTTGGTTTCAATGGAACATACATGCACATGCACTATATTTAATATACCCCAAGAAAAAAAGGAAATTAAAATACTATTATTTTCATGTTAAGTATGAAGATGAGAAATTTTTTCAAGGTGTGTGAGATGTTTAGGATAAGAATCCAGACAAAGATGCTAAAAGTCCTGTGGTATTTCCAAGAGGGATACTTTCAGAGGACAAGTAGTGTAGATCTTTTAGAAGGGTGGGGAGGCTCCAGCAGGACTGATGCTTGGGTAATCAGGCTGCTCTGTCTATCAGGAGATCTCTCTCCTAAGATGCAGACAGCAATATCACTTTGGGATTTCATTGTGATGTGCCATAGACATCTCCATTTCTGCTTCTTCATTTCAGACTGTGAGAATGGCCTTCCTTTATGGTGCTCTGGCCAGTGGCTGTCAGGCAACTTCTGAGGCCATCTGGCACCTCCCCTCCAGTTAGCCATTTGCAGTGGTATGGTGCCTCAGAATTTGTTCCCAAGGCACACCCTTCCCTTRGTTCTCCTAGTGATGACAAAGTAACTGGAAAGCTAATTTCCAGCGTAGTCAGTGCTGACGTTTTATGCAGATAGACTCTGGATTTCTTTAGGTCTTGAGGTCTTATTTATTATTTTTTCCACCAAAATAGTTCTGTGCTACACTAGTAGAGCAGTTTATTTAACAGTGTCCAGCAATGGTCAGTTTGCGTGGTCAGTTGATATTACCAAGTTCACATCCTTTTATRAAGAACTAAGAGGCAGTAAGAAACAGCAGAAATATTTTTTTCCTCTTTCTTACTGTAGTTACATGTTATGTTGGATATGAACACATCTTCATCTTTCCATCTTCTCTAGCGGAGAAAGATGACTTGGAGTAACTGATGCTTTTAGTTTTTGGGCTGTTTTGTTTCAGGGGTAGAGAGAGAGGATCATGTGTCACTTGGAAGTTGTTTTTGTATGCTCCTGTCTTCACTTTCCTATTTAGCTGATACTGAAAGACCTGTGTTGGAGACCTTGAAAGACCCTTAGTTACTACTTACACTTAGGGGAAAGAAACTACTTAAACGAAATGGTGTAAAATCTTAGCAAAATTGAATAAAAATGTAACCATTAATTCTTGTTGGCCAGTGGTATGTGCTTTTTTAATGTGCATGTGGAGTTTCAGCCATAAATCTACTTGCATGTGCCCAGAGTTGAGGACTCGAACTAATCCAACTGTTTCTCTTAATCTTTTATCTCTGACCTGGTTCAGCATGTTTGTTGCTGATTCAGAGACTCAAATTTTTGACAGATGTATGTTATAATGCTAATTACTAAAGGATACTATAATTGACTGTAGAAACAAAAGCATTCTGTTGTTGTTGTGATGTATTAGGTTCAGAATAATTCTGGATCTTTGCCAGAAGTGAAGCAACTTCAGATCCAGGACTCTGTTCCATTCCCTTTCCCTTTCTTCCTCCCTTCTCCAAATGCTGTGGTATGTAAATATTTGTTCCTAAAAGGAAAGAAAAACAAGTTGACAATAATGGGAGACTGAAGACTTCCTTGAAAGAACTGTGCGGGGAATGATGGTTCAGCTAAGAAAGCTTCTTCTCCCAAGTGCAATTGAATGTGCAGTTCAGTAGTTGAGCCACACTGTGTCACCATTGGACTTCACTGMCTTCCACTCTACCTTTTCCATTATAGGTGAAGATATTTACAAAGCCAGAGAGGAGGGGTCTGAAATGTGGGGGGCAGTTGAAGTGCAAGAAGATGAAGATACTCTCGTGGAAGTTCCACTGGACCAGGTAGTGACTGAGTTTTAAATAAATGGATTTTCTTTTCTTTTCTTTTCTTTTCTTTTCTTTTCTTTTCTTTTCTTTTCTTTTCTTTTCTTTTCTTTTCTTTTCTTTTCTTTTCTTTT